TGCAGCCAACAGACACAGGAAGAAATGCTCATCATCACTGGTCATTAGAGAAATGCAAATCAAAACCACAATGAGAAACCATCTCACACCAGTTAGAATGGCAATCATTAAAAAGTCAGGAAACAACAGATGTTGGAGAGGATGTGGAGAAACAGGAACACTTTTACACTGTTAGTAGGAGCGTAAACTAGTTCAATCATTGTGGAAGACAGTGGCGATTCCTCAAGGATCTAGAACTAGAAATACCATTTGACCCAGCAATCCCATTACTAGGTACATACCCAAAGGATTACAAATCATGCTACTATAAAGACACATGCACACATATGCTTATTACGGCACTATTCACAATAGCAAAGACTTGGAACCAACCCAAATGTCCATCAATGATAGACTGGATTAAGAAAATGTGGCACATGTACACCATGGAATACTATGCAGCCATAAAAGAGGATGAGTTCATCACTTAAATTTCCACAAAGGCTTTAACCATAGAAAATCCTGTGTGACTGGATATTTTTGGTTTTGTCTGGGAAAATCAAGGAAAGATTGATTTTCATTTGGTTCTACATTTATTCTGACACCAGAGTAGGGAACAGGAATCCATAAGGTAATCATTAGGATACAAGTTCCCCTGAAAGTCACAGTATGCTTGGGGAAGGCACAAGACTTTTCCCCTAGGTACAAAGTTATAGAAAGAGAGGTCCAAACTTATCTAGCCCTTAGATGGCATAGTATCCCCTAGACTCTCAGTTATATATAATAGAAGTTTTGAGAGATAAAACATCAGGAAACATAAAACAATGAAGGTCCCATCTGCCTTTAAAATGTAACTCATATGGAGTCCCCTTTGAAAAGAAGCAATACTTTTGGTTCCAGTCATAATGAAGTAACTTACATTGAACTAACCCAATCAAAAGTAATTATCAAACTGGACAAAATTAATAAAATAACTGTGCATTAGCCTGTTCTCATGCTGCTAATAAAAACATACCTGAGACTGGGTAATTTATAAAGGAATGAGGTTTAATTAAGTAAGGTCTCAGGAAACTTGCTATCATGGCAGAAGGGGAAGCAAACACGTCGTTCTTTACATGGCAGCAGGGAGAAGAAGAATGAGTGTCTGGTGAAAGGGGAAGCCCCTTATGAAACCATCAGCTCTTATGAGAATTAACTCACTATCACAAGAACAGGATGGGGGAAACTTCCCCCATGATTCAATTATCTCCACCTGGTTCCTCCCGTAATATGTGGGGATTATGGGGACTACAATTCAAGATGAGATACACAGTCAACCCATATCAAACTACTTGAAGGAATTTGAGAGGAATCAACTCGGATAAGACTTGAAGGACTGTGATCCCTAAGAAAAGAGAAGTGCACCAATGAGAGCATCACATTTGGCTAGGTATTTTTCTACAGGCATTTGCTATTTCATTGTAAGGTGGAATAGAAGAGATGAGAAAGGAACCTCCTTACCAACTAAGGAGACAGAGAAGTTCAGGTAAACCAAAGCATAAAGGATTTGAGGAATATAATACCAGAGAGAAGTAAACTGCATTGATGTTCCCTTTAAGGCATTAGTCAACTCCTAACTTGAATAGCAAGAGGTAGTACTCTAAGAAACAGATTAAAAATAGCATGTAGAAGGCTAAATTGCAGGATAGAGATTTCAGCAGTCACGTGGTGTTGGGGAGATGGAGGCTGGAGTTCAAACTCTGCTAAACAGGAAGAGCCTTGGTAAACATACTATGGTTTGAACTGAGACTCCAGAAAAGCTGTTTTAGGAGTAAAGGCTAGACCTCAGGATTGAGGGCAAAATTGAAATATGCCAGCTTAACAAAGCCTGTTAATAAACTATGGGCAGCACAAGTTGGTTTGCCGATACTCTATCTGCCTGTGAAAAGAAAATCTTATTTTGAGGAAAATGACATGAACAATCTTTAATAATCAACATCTATAGTTAAACAAAATTCTGACACCTGCTTTTCCTTTTTTAAAAAGAGAACTAAATGACCAAAGAAGAACAAATGACTGAGAGAGAGAGACAGAAAAAGAGAAAAATAACAGACAATGGAAATAATTCCACAGATAATTCAGGTATACAGGCATTTTTAAATTACTATAATTAATGTTCTAGAAAACAGAAAAAGAATCATGAAAATTTTATCTAAGATAAAAATTCCTTTTCCACATACAGAAGAATAAAATTAGATCTTTATGTTACACCATATACAAACATAAATTCAAAATGAATAAAGACTTAAACGTAAGAACTGAAATTATGTAACTCTAAAAGAAAGCATAGGGGAAAGCTCCATGACATTGGTCTGGACAATGATGTGTTTGGATATGACTCCAAAGCACAGGCAACAAAAGCAAAAACAGACAAATTGAATTATATCCAATTAAAAAGCTCTGCACAGAAAAGGAAACAATCAACAGAATCAAGAGACAATCTACAGAATGGGAGAAAATATTTGCAAATCATACATCTGATAAGGAGTAAATATGCAAAATACATAAGAAACTCAAACAACTGAATAACACCAAAAAAAAAAAACAACAACCTGATTTTTAAAATAGACAAATGACCAGAATGAACTTTTCTCAGAAAAAGACATGCAAAAGGCCAACAGTTATATGCAAATATGCTCAATATTGCTAACCATTAGGAAAATGCAAATTAAAACCACACCTCTTAGAAGGTCTATTTAAAAAAAAACAACAAAGATAAATTTTGGCAAGGATGTGAAGAAAAAGGAACCCCTGCCATTGTTGGTGCAAATGTAAATCAGTATAGCCACTATGGAAAACAGCAGGGAAGTTCTCTAAAACAATTAAAAATAGAAGTACCATATGATCTGGAAGTCCTAATACTGGGTATATATCCAAAGGAATGAAATCAGTATCTTAAAGAGATATATGCACTCCCATTTTCATTGCGGCATTATTCATAACAGCCAAAATACAGAATTAACCTAAGTATCCAACAACAGACAAATGAATAAAGAAAATGTGGTATATATACACAATGCAATACTATTCAGCCTTAGAAAAGAAGAAAATCCTGTCATTTGCAGCAACATGGATGAAACTGGAGGTCATTATGCTTAGTGAAATAAGCCAGGTATAGAAAGACAAATACTACATGATCTCAGTTATATACTGAATCTAAAATACCTTGAACTCAAAGAAGCAGAGAGTACAATGATGGTTACCAGGAGCTGGGGCTGGAGATCCAGGAGAGATTAGAAAGTTGTTGCTTAAAGGATACAGAGTTTAAGTTAGGAGAAATAAGTTCAAGAGATCTGTTGTACAACATGGTGACTCTAGACAACAATGATGTATTATACGCTAAGGGAGGAGATTTTAAGTGTTATCACCACAAATAAATGATAAACATGTGAGGAAATGCATACATTAATTAGTATGATTTAGCCATTCCAAAATCTATACATATTTCAAAACATCATTTTGTATGCCACAAATTTTTTAAAAAGATAAGAATCCTTAATAAGTCAAATGAAATAAAATAGACATTGAGATCCAATATTTCCCACTTTCTATGCTGAGGAATATTAGCGATTTTTCTCTCTTTGCTAATTTCTTCTTCTTTTTGATTACTTCCATCCCCTAACTCACCCTCGATTTTCAAAACAGTTGTCATTTTATGCTGTCATGGAGAGGACAGGAGACAACTGTAGTTTTAAAATTCAATCTACTGATTTTTTTAAAAGACATGAACATGATTTCAAGAAGAGGCAACATACTTAACAGAAACGATACATGTTTTAAACTCTGACACCTCTGTTGAAACTCTGACCCAGCCACCTGCAAGTTTGTGTGAACATACACACGACTTAACCATTCTGAATTTGTTTTCTCTTGCATAAAAACAGATCAAGACTTACCTTAAAAATTTGTCTTAAGCAATAAATGAGATGCTTTACATAGGTAGGGTGCTTAACACATAAAACGTAGCCAGTAAATGTTGGTACCTCCTCTGCTGTTTGCTATCAACAATGGAGAGAAGCATATATGCAAAACTGGTAATCTTGAACCTCAGAATGGGATATTATCTACGTATTTACTGTCATTAGATAGCCCCAACCAAGATAAAATAATACACAATTTAAGTTTTCTTTCTACCTTTCACAGCAGAGAATATTAATGATTGACATGAGTATCTGCACAGTATGGGTTGGTCAAAACAATAGCTTCTCAAGTACATAGGAAAAAAATCCAGAGTTACAACTATCCGAGACAAAGCTCAAGACAGCATATAAAGGCTTGTTGTTACACAATGCTATGCATGCCTTGGCTTGCCTTTCAACAATCATTCCTATTAAATCATGTGTCTCTCTGAGACATCTAATGAAGTCATGTTCACGATCAGCTTAATCACAGGATGCAGTATAGTACATATTTTGACAGGAAAGCTGTTTGTCTAATACGAAACTTGCAGCAAATATATAATTGCACAAAATGTTGATTATGCTTTCAGTGTGACAATCCTTGGCTTGAATCCTTTTATGCATATTTATTCACTTTAAGATAGACTGTTTCGTGTACCATTAAATAAAAGATTATTTTTAGGCAAAATCTATGTCAAGCAATTGGAGTAGTGAACAATTACAAACACAGCAAACTGAACCATATACTTCATATGGAAATCTTTAAATTCCGGAGAAATCACACATCTCTATCTAATGTTATATACAATTGAAATCAATGGTAGTTATAAGCATATGAAAATAACCAAGAAAGAAACTGAGTTGAGAAGTCATTCATGAAAAATATTTTCTTAAAATGTTAATAACAGACTCTAGGTTTGGCTTCTAGCTAATTATTTAACTGCTTAACTGGTGGCTGAATATTCACATCTTAGATATTCAGAGAGTTTTTAAGGTGAGGTCGTGACATCTGCCTTTGCTGTTATAAATGATCTCCAGGCCCAATGTTATTAGGTCTCAGCACTAATTAGAAATGAGACTTACATCACTCTCATGACCTTCTCGAAGGTTGTATGTGAGGTCATGCTGAATGTCTTCCACGAATTTGTGAGCATATTCTGGGTAAAGGTCTAGCACTTCAAAGAGTCCTTTGAGGATGATGCACTGGAGATCACAGTAGGTTAAAGCCTTTACATCTGCATTGGTCTTGATCACTTGGTCCTTAATTGATAGATTTGCTCCAATTAAATCCCCTTTCCCTAGAAAGAGAGAGAGAGATCACTTTCAAAAAAAGCAAGCTTAGGACTGATAACCTCATTTGACTCACAGGCTTCATTTTTCAGTGAGATTACACTGAAAAGAGAAAAACGTTTACCTTGGGGCAGGGCTTTTCAGCTTTGGCATACAATAGCCTCATACCTGGGCTTTAGCTTTTATTTGTTTTATGGCCATTATCCTCCATTTCATAAAGAACCAACAACTAACAAATTTTTAACTAACAACAACAAGCAACAAGCAAGCTATATCTTTGGAATGTTATTAGGACAAATGGCCTCTACTTCCCATTCAACAATTTTTTTTAACTTTTAACTTTTTTATTGTACCCATACGTTGTTTAAAATTTTTATTTTTTATTGTGCCCAGCATTTGTGGAAGCAAAGTCCCTGGTATGTAGCAGACTTCAATACAAGTCTGTTTTATCAGATTTGACAGTAAAAGGAAACATGTCAAATTGACTATGAATACCTGAGTTTTTAATAAATCTGCATGTCGAATAAAAAATAGTTTTAAAATTATTATATTATAACTAGGTATTATCTTCAAGTTAACACTGGACTTAAACCTTGAAATTTAGCCTATTTTGGTAGAAGAAAAAATAGACTAAAATCTATATTTACAGACACTAGGTATAATACATAGCCAGGTGGTATGGAAGAATTTAAGTCTGATTTATTGTTGTCAATATTGCTAAACTTGGAAATTTTGTTTCTTGTATATTTCATTAGAAATCTAACTTGCTGCTCAAAACTCAAAGTTGGGTACTGATGCAGGATGTAAATATAGCCAGGATGTTTTGAATACGGCAAATTTTTAAATTTTGTATATTTGAGGATAATTTATCATGATGCGGTGTCTTGCACAATAAACATTCACATTCTCTGTGAAGCAACTAGTGTCTGCAATAACTTCAGGGTCATCATACTTTCATACTTTGGGTTGCCATGGTATGGCTATTTCAGTCACAATGACACTAGCTATAAAAACAGCACCAACATCCTGCCAATCTTGGCATCCTAGAAAGAATTCCACTTTATTTATTCGTTCAATGAATATTTATGGGGAACTGACAATGTGTGCTGGACCTTGTATTGAGTCCTGGCAAGCAGGTACCAACATGGTATTCACCTCATTACCTAAAACTACCTCACTAATTTTGCAGTCTTGTGGACTTCTTACTGTCTAGATATAGGACCTTTAGTTAAGTTTTTGAGTAACTTTGGGTCTCAGTATCCTTATTTCTAAAAGACGAGAAAGATTTTCTTGTAGGCTCCATTTTTCAGCATTATACTACTGATCTTTGCTAATCAGTTACTCTTTCATTGAAACACATAAGGTGATAGGATGCATCTGCAAACCACTCAGGTTAGAGCTATAACTTACGTTTAGTTATAATTAGGCAGACTAATGTTCTGTTGAGAGTACATTTATTCATGCTTTGCCATTTTCTTTTAAAACAATGAAGAAATTGGTTGGGGAGACACTATTACCTGGACATGAAATCAAGGCGTACAAGGCAAACGAATTCCAGCCCCATAACAAATTCCTGCCCCTACCCTTTCCAGGTATCAGATTAAGAAATGTCTGCACGTATTGACTGGACAAGAAAGTTGCTAGGATAAGTTTATGGTTGAACAGCTGTTGTTGTGAAGAAGAAGAACATTAATTTTTTTCATTGGCAGAGTGAACATGTGCTAAATATCTACAGGTCAAGTATAATGTCACGTACTTGCTAAGTTTATCAAAGTAGTATTGATTTGAATTAGCCCTATAAGCCCTATAAGGCAATATTATATATATAATCCATAGGGAAAGTAAAATAGTCAATCTTTATTGAAATAATGTTAATCACAGAAAGTAAATATTAATCTTTTATTGTCTTTGTTTGAGTTTAGCCCCAGTACCACATACCAGTGTTTAGAATGGTCACGCAGCAATTTGCACTTTTGATGTATACATGGGAGAGGCAAAGATGTGAAAATGTTACCCATGTTAATCGCATTTTACGGAGAAACTTGGGGCCAGGAGCAAAAGATAATGAATTAAATCTTTCAGCCATAAGTAGTTTTTTAAAAAATGTAACAAGAAATATCCAACTGAATCATATTTGACTAGCAATGGAAGTTACACAGAAGCCACTAAATTTGTACTTATTGTGCTCTAGTGTCATAGATGATGCTTTCATATTCTATTCCTAAAACTGTTGATAGCTACCAAAATTTAAAATACACCACAATTATAGAAAAATCCACATTATATCTGTTTAGAATGATACAAGATTCTAAGGAAAAAGTCTAGATGCCCTCTTAAAAATAGGCTGAATCCTTAGGCAGGCTATAAAACATTTCATGGTACTAAAGAAAAATCAATAAAAAATATTTTATGATTAAGGTTAAGTTTTTGAAGCAAATTAAGAATAACTGTTAATTCTAATTTAGAATAACAAGATGATAGGGTGGCTGGCCTTTAACTTCACAAAGTTGAGAAGAGGCCAGGAAGAGTGTTAAATTCTCCCCTTAAGAAAGAACACACACACACACACACACACACACACACACACACACACACGGAGCCTTGCTCTAATATTGAGTTACTCTATTATTGAGCCTTACTCTAATATTGATAAAGAAATGACCATATTAATAGTAAACTCTGAGTTGCCATTCCATGCCTTTCTATTAAGGAGAAAAACATAAGAGGATGAGAAAAGAACAGAGTCACAAATTTGAAAGACAAACCCTGCCTTTACTCTAAGTGGTAAACAAGTCAACATGAAGCAGTGAAAAGCATATGGGTCTTTCATCATTCACTAGTGTCTATCTCTTCACCTTTAATCTTGGAAATAATCATACTGTCTTAGTCTATTCAGGTTGCCATACTGTAAACTGGGCAGCTTATAAACAAAAAAAAAATTATTTCTCATGTTCTAGAGGCTGGTGTCTGGTAAGGGCTCACTTTGTGATTCACAGATGGCACCTTTTCATTGTGTCTGTACATGGGAGAAAAGGCAGGGTAGCTCTCCTGAGCCTCTACTATAAAGACACTAATCCCATTCATGAGGGCTGTGCCCTCATCACCTATTCACTTCTTCAAGGCCCCACTCCTAATACCATCATATTGGGGATTAGGTTTTGACATATCAATTTTGGGGGGAGGCAGACATTCAGATCGTAACCCACAAATAATGAGGTTGTAAGATTTAAATTCAATAATGGGCATAAACACCCAGATCATATGAGGGATTCAATACATATTAGTTCTCTTTCTCTCTTCCAAAATATAATCTATTTTGAGGCTTACTAGCCAGAATCCACTGATAGAAGTCCTACAATGATTATATAGAATAATGTCTTTTTAAAATTTGCATAAATTTAAGGAATACAAGTGCAGTTTTGTTACATAGATATATTGCCTAGTGGTGAAGTCTGGACTTTGAGTGTAACCATCACTTGAACGGTGTACACTGTATCCATTAATTTATTTTCATCCCTCACCCCCTCCCCTAGTCTTCCACTTTTACTAGTCTCCAGTGTCTATTATTCCACACTCTATGTCCATCTGTACACTTTATTTACTTCCCAATTATAAGTGAGAACATGTAGTATTTGAATTTCTTTTTCTGAGTTATTTTGCTTAAGATAATGGTATCCAGTTCAATCCATACTGCTGCAAAATACATGATTTCATTCTTCTTTATGGCTGAATAGTATTCCATTGCATATATGTACCATATTTTTAATCTGTTCATCCATTGATGAACACTTAGGTTGATTCCATATTGTTGCTATCATAAATAGTGCTGTGATAACCATATGAGTGCAGGGTTTTTTTTTAATTAGAAAAATAGATATTGTTTAGACATGGAAGGAACGCTGAATACAGAATCCAATGTCTTAGGTTAGCCTTGACTTTAGAAAAATCAGAGAAAATACCTTCGCCATCTGTCTTTCTGTGTTGTAAAGGCTTAAATGAGACCTTGTGTATGAACACACTTTGCAAGTAATTGTTTACAAATATAAGGTTCTTAAAAATTAAAAATAAAAAGGTACTGAATTTATGCCCCTTTTATTAGCGCAAACTCTAAATATTTGTGTTTTATATTAGTGTTTGAAATACATCCTGAATTCACCTGCCTCTCACCATCATTACTACCACCTTGGCTGGTCTCAGACCCCATCATATCCTTCACTTCAGTTTAATTTTCATGTAGGCAAGGATTTTGGTCATTCTCTTTTTTGCTGCATTATCAGTGTTTAGACCAGTACTGGATTCATTCATAGGCCATCAATAAACGTTAGGTGAATAAACAAACAAAAATTACAGTTTTTTTTTTTTTTTTTTTGAGACACTGTCTCTCTCTCTGCACTCAGGCTGGAGGCAGTGGCGCTATCTTGGCTTACTGCACCCTCCACCTCTCAGACTCAAGCGATCCTCCCATCTCAGCCTCCCAGGTAGCTGGAACTACAGGATCCTGCCACCATGGCCAGGTAATTATTTGTACTTTTAGTAGAGACAGGGTCTGTCCATGCTGCCCAGGCTGGTCTTGAACTCATGGGCTCAAGCAATCCACCTGCCTCGTCTCCAAAAGTGTTAGGATTACAGGCGTGAGTCACCGTGCCCAGCCTAGAGTGACCTTTAAAACAGGCCCACATAAAATTGTAAACAGGATTTTGTATACATTAACTCTGCATGCCGTTTTTGTCAACTGCCCTTTATGTTTCAATGAAGGCCAATTACGTATTAATATTGAGAGTCAGCTCTGTGGCACAAAATTTTCACAATACATCTTGTAAGTTTTCTTTAAGGAAGTAAAAAGAGCCTATAGTCACCTTGACAGTATTAGGTTAATGACTGCTATGAGAGCTTATTCTTGAAACATAGTCACCTTTGCTCTATTTCTAGCACAGATACAATTTAGTTTTTGTGTTCTCTGAATTAATTTTCCACAAAAATAAATGCCCTCTTAAAACGGAGCAGCTATTTCACCAGAAGGGAGTATACATCATGATTAATAATTTGACTTTAGGAATCAAAAATAACTGAGTTTATTTTCTTACTAGGTGATCTGGGCTTGTTAACTCAAGTACTAGTTATTCATGTCTAAAATGGAGATAATATTTATACTACTTTTTTTTTTTACAAGAATTAAATAATATGTTGGATATAACACTTAGGCAAACTAAACTCATATGAAGAATACTCCTGAGTTCACGTCTTCATCTATTCTTTTCCTACTCTCAATAGCAGTTTTTCCCCATTTCATCTTCTTAATTTATGCTCCAGAGTCAAACTTCATACAAGTGTTTCAATTCAGACCTACCAAGAATAGCCAGCACCATGCTGTCTTTAAGAACTTCCATGGAGCCCGAGCACACAAAGTAGATGGCCTGCAAAGCATCCCCTTGACGCAGCAGATACTCCCCCGGAGCACAGAAAGAGGTTTTGATGTGTAGAGACAGAGACCTGAGGCAGCCCCGGCTGGCACATTCAAAAAGGGACAACTGTAAGATCTCCTTGTTCAAGTGCATAGTGATGTCAGAACGCAGTTCATCTGGAAAGTCTTTCAAAAGCTGTCAGAGAAGATGAAGGAGGAAATCAAATTGGGGTAAGTGTCGTCTAACTGATTTACTTTGCAAGACTGCAGGGATGCTCTTCCTACTGTCTCCTGCTGTTTGGCCATCCAGCATACGGAAGAGGAAATCTAAGTATGTATAATCCTGGAGAGATTTTTCAGTGACTGTGATTTCAATTATGTGCTACTAAATAATCAGCTGATAAGAAGTCTGGAGAAAGAGAACAAATTAAGAAAACGCTCTAGCAGGAAAACATATAATGACTCATTGTGACTTGCTTCTCACAGAGTCCTAGTCAGGACATAAGATATGGAATTTGGATCCACTGGTGATTATACGAAGAGAGGAGAAACCAATTAATCACTACTAAAATGGTGGTTACAGGTTTGGTTGGTGGGTTGATGAAATGGTTGGTTGATTTATATAATATCTTTTTTTTTTTTTTTTTTTTTGTGAGATGGAGTCTCGCTCGTCACCCAGGCTGGAGTGCAGTGGTGTGATCTTGGCTCACTGCAAGTTCCGCCTTCCGGTTTCACCCCACTCTCCTGCCTCAGCCTCCCGAGTAGCTGGGACTACAGGCGCCCGCCACCACGCCCGGCTGATTTTTTGCATTTTTAGTAGAGACGGAGTTTCACCGTGTTAGCCAGATAGTCTCCATCTCCTGACCTCATGATCCACCCACCGGGGCCTCCCAAAGTGCTGGGATTACAGGAATGAGATATATATAATACCTTTTTTATAGTGGCCGTCTGGGGTGTTTCTGGAAGTATAAAGATAACCCCTTTGATGGAATTTTTTTAACTTTATTGATGTTAAAGGGAGACAGAAACTTGATTCATATAATTATCCCAGATTACACCATTAAATTGTCATAAGAATTGATTCCTTAGAAAAGAGACGATAAGAAGGAAAGTCCACCTGATTGAACAAGCAGCAAGTTAATATAAAACTTTGGTCCATCCAAATTGGCATTGTGAAAACACAAGCCAAAGCAAGCGAAAGAAGATGGATTGGGATTCATGAATAACTAAAAAAATAAAGGAATAAAGAAGTTAGTATGCTTTTCACTTCTGATACCTGCATTAGAGCATCTTGCTTTTACCTTAGAATATGTGCTTTCTGCCTGAAAACAACATGAGAAATGAACATTACCTCATTTGAATCTATTCCATTGTTGACTGACCAGGTTGTTTGAAAATATTCGAGCATCCTCTGCTTGAGTTGTTGGGGCAGGTGATGGACACGGATAAAATCTTTCAGATCCTTAGTTCTAGTGTGATAGAGGGACCATCTGGAGTACATCCTCTGTATGATTGCTGTCACGTTTCCAAACACCAAGGCGTGCATCAAGGCTACAAAGAACAACACAGTATACAATGGAAGAGAAATATGACAGTGAGGCCCACCACTTATATCTAATTTACAGTCTATCCTGGATCACAGCAGAATGTGCTTATATGGCCATGTTGATACAGCTATTTTGGTACAAGCATTTTGGTGCAGATACTGTATCACAGGGTACATCGTGAAGCAATCACTTTGATTCCATATGGCTTGATCAGAGTAAAAATATCTTTAAAAATACTCAATGATATGCAAAATAGATCTCTTTGATTTACATTTAATCTGTTAGCTGCCATTCTGGTTATGATAAACTTTTATTTGAACTCGATTTACATCTATATTATTTTAATAGTTATGTATAGTTTAATAGTTACAATAAAATAGTTTTCTTTTTTTTTTTTTTTTTTTTTTTGAGACGGAGTCTCGCTCTGTCTGCCGGGCTGGAGTTGCAGTGGCCGGATCTCAGCTCACTGCAAGCTCCGCCTCCCGGGTTCACGCCATTCTCCTGCCTCAGCCTCCCGAGTAGCTGGGACTACAGGCGCCGCCACCTCGCCCGGCTAGTTTTTTGTATTTTTTAGTAGAGACGGGGTTTCACCATGTTCACCAGGTTGGTCTCGATCTCCTGACCTCGTGATCCACCCGTCTCGGCCTCCCAAAGTGCTGGGATTACAGGCTTGAGCCACCGCGCCCGGCCAATAAAATAGTTTTCATAGTTTGATAGAATAAGCTATAAAGTTATAGTTTAATAATTACTTTTATTGTAGTAACGAATGAAATAAATTTTTGAAGTAAGTCTACTTTGGTTAGCCTTTGTGGGAATTTTAGTCTCACCCCCTCAAAAAGCCATCATTTAAACTTTGTTTTAGAATATTAAATATGATAAATTTATATTAATGCAGATATGAAGGAAGTTGTAAAAAATGTAATTGAGGATTTCTTGAGCAGTGTGAAGCTCCAATACTCACTCCAACCCCGGCTCTGCAGTTACTTTAATTTTGAGGGAGATATCGGAAAATCTGAGACCATTCAAGAAACAAATGAATTCACAGAGAAAAAGAGGTATTCTGCATAGAGGAGTCATTGTTGCCACCATGAGATGCAACAGAAGGGTGTGTATGTCTATGTGTGTGTGTGTGTGTATATATGTATATATATGGGGCTCTTGTTTCAATGAGGTTTGTCAGCCAGATAGTATTTAACCTCCACTTACTTGCTAAGCCTGCCCTTTGAGCCTGTCTCAAACCTACCATTAAAGTGTAATGACATGAAAAATTTTGTTCACCAGAATTTGAGGGCATATGGATATTTAGGGTGGATATTTCTTCTGGAGAACAGTGGAGTGAAAGGATGGACCTCATTTTCCAGGAATTACCCACTTTGGGAAGCAACTAGGTATTGTCAAGACATAGAAGGCATGACAGGATTTTGCACTCACTAGTCAGTAGCAGAACGAAACTGAAATGGTTTCTAAACAGACACCAGCAGATAATCCAAGAAGGCCTTGAACATACCTGGAACTGTGAAACTGAGAGAGATATGAGGGCCAAGCACATGCATATTTATGGATAAGTCAACTCTAAGTAATATTCAGATTTTATCCCTGATCCTTATTCTGGGACAGGATTAGGAATGAGGCATGAAGCTTATTAGTTGGGTAAAATCATCTGTTTCAGTAATTTGGGGCTTAGAAAAAGACTAAACATTTAGTAGCTTGTCTATTAGGATCTATCAAAATGTACATGTATCAAAACCTCAGTGCCCAAGGAGCTATGTTAAAAATTTCCTAGCATCATAATGGATACATTAGTGCAAATATGTCAACATATTATTACTTCTATCTTCCTATTTCAGGATCTCCCCAATTCAAATCTTGTGTCCCTACATTTGTCAGAAATTACCAGACACTGGCATACTAATTTAATTCTAATCTCACACTGGAATTAAAATTCTTTACCAGGTAATACATAATTTCTCTATGGAATAATGGTCACTATGTCTATAAAATTACTCCCTTCATAACAAGACCTCAGTATTTTGGAAAAGTTACTAGAATAGGGTTAAACTTAGGGTCTATATACAAGAAGTAATGTAATGTTGCAGAGAGAATATGAACTTCAGAATCAGACAAATCTGGATTTGAATACTGATTTTGCTACTTCTTAATTGTGTGAACTTGGTAAGTTACATAATTCCTTTAAACAGATTCATATTAAATGGGCATAGTCATTATGTTAAATAGCCCTTACTCATAGCGCTATTTCAAGATTTAAAGACCTATGTATGTTTTAAAAAGGGCCTAGTATATGTATGAAAAAAAGCATTTGCTCAATTTATGTTAATTTTCCTTATGAAAGTGAAAAATTTTATGAATTTTCAGCATGCTCAATGCAATTAAATTTGGGGAAAATGACTCAGATTTAAGGTTTTCCTGCAACCTCTTAAATAGTAAAGAGTGGCTCTTAGTAGACATAAGTTATTGATGAAAGAAATTCAAAACATACTCAATAAATGCTTGATACATGCAAGAATGTGTAAGTATGTATTATTCCTAAATGTTCAAAAATGAGATGTGTCCCAACAGGTCAAAAATATTCCATGAAAAATATATATCATGTAGCAACTAAATGTTGGATTTGTTCTTTGTAGATTCTAAATAGAGGTTTATTCTTCTGTATTGTTTTAGAAGCACAGCAGTTCTGATGCTTAAGTCTTTTATTTGGAAGATAAGAGCTCTACTTACAATAAACACTCAAAGAAAAGAACTGATTCTGCTCCAAGTCAAAGAAATTAAACATTGATTTCAGGCTCCCTTAATATACTTATGGGCTAAGTGTTTGGAAGCCCTACCATCTTTAACACTATGTAATCGTCTTTTTATGGAGATTAAATCGAGTACAGAGAACAATTCTGTTTCATTTATTTTAACACTGCTTTCCTTAATTATGTGTATGATTTTAACCTTGCTTTGCTTAATTATAATGTGTAAAGCACTTAAAGTAAGAGAAGTAATATATTCAGATTATTTAACATCCTAGTTGTATTTTATTAGTAAAATGAATTACTGGATTAATTATAGCATTCATAAGTGTTATTGAAAAGTACTAGTCTATGTCTGAGTCACCACAATTTCAAAGTCTCATTTCAGCATAGATAACTATTTCTAATTTAAGTAGTTAAAAAAATAAAATTCTGGTCCTCATAGCCTTTCATTTTCCAAAGTTATTATGACCATTCTGTCACTGGTTATCATTTCACCCTGGCAAAGAGTGTGTGTAACTGTCAGAAAAAATCATTCCATCTGCTATGAAAGTTTGACTCAAGAACTTCTATATCCAGGTCAGTATGGAAATTATTACTTACTTTTTCTTTATTTCTAGCAAATTTGATGTATATAATTCTTGAGTGTTCGACCTGCTGAGTGTGTGGGCGTCTCTTTTTTGTGTGTAGGAGTTTCGCATAAAATGCATTTTGTAAAATTTCATCTCAGTATCAGGTCCTGGAAGGAACCTCAACAATTGGCATCTAAGAAGAAAGTAAGCGGTTCTCAAATGAAAGAAGCGCTTCTGTAGAACTGCCTGGCTTTTTCTTTCTCGTTCTCTTTCCCTTTGTCTTTTCCTTTCCCTTTTCATTTCCCTTCCCCTTTTTCTTTCCCCTTCTCTTTCTTTTCCTGAATTTTGGACAACACTTATCTCCAGGAGTATAACATCATTGCTAATTACTTTAGCCAACTATTTTGCAGTGGCTGTGGAGGCTAAGTAGGGGGCGTTTTCTACTGATATAAAAGGAGGCCAGAGCTCAGGTTTTGGGTAATCTTAGCTGCCCTCCTTCTCTTTCCCACCTCCTCATTGCCCTGGAAATTTCCATTCTTGGTTATAAGTACACTGGCTTGTGGATGGCAGATGGCAGAGAGAATAGAGATGAGAAAAATTTCCTAAATGATGAATTTAAATGGCAGTGCAAAGACATCTTGAGAACAGCCTGAATTTGCGAACACAATAGCTCATCATATGGGTCCAATAAAACTATGTCAGGGTAGTGTGTGTGTATTCAGTGGGGGGACCCGAGGGAAGCCTTGATTACTTTGTGATAATAATGCTTCATTGAAACTGAGTATGTTCTCAGTGATGAATGATCTTTATTAGGAAGCTTTATCCAACCTCCAAGGCTGTGCTGATGACTCTATCAACTGGGGCAAACTCATTAGGTGACTATAGGCAGTCACTGTTTAGTGTGATAGAATTTTTAAAGACATTAGAAAATATTTTCTGTATATTTTGTCTGGTTGCAAAAAATATGAATAGTTATACATATATATTTCAAAAAATAGTTACATATGTATGGAAATTCTGGAAAACTATCTTTTGATAATGAGACTATGTGTAATTTTATTTTTCTGTTTTCCAGTTTTTTCTAAATGTGTATTATAATAGAAAAAAATAGAAATAAAAAAGAAAGAACATCCTCTGCTTAAGTACCTATTTCCATTATTAAACTGTGAACTCCTTGAAAGAAAGTATCATATCTTAGTCATCTTTGTTTCCCCTGCATCTAGCACAGCTCTTGGCATAATTTAAGTATGCCATAAATATTTATGGAACTGAAATGTGCCTCTGGTAGTTTGATACTTTCTTTAAAAAGTTTTATAATTGTAAGCAAATGGTTTAGAAAATCTATGATAAATAGTCTAGCCCCAAACTCATCCCTTCATCACCATCTCACTCGCCAAAATCAACCTTTTAAAATGAGTTTTTTGGGTGTTTTTGCAGTTATCACCAAAATGTTGGACAATATAATTGTACTCCATTGCTTGACTCATTATTGTTAAGACAAACCCAAGAACAACCTGATATGAAAAGCAAGAACTTAGCTCACTATTACCCAGCTTTTTAACTCACACTTGATATATTATTTTTAGTTCATCTATTAAAATTTTACAAGGTAAAATTAAAATCAAAGATACATATAGAACAAGTTACCCACTTGCTAAATGTGAAGCTCATTGAGATTT